GTTTTTTTTTTTTTTTTTTTTTTTTTTTTTTTTTTAACCAGCTATGTTGCACTAATGGCTCATGGTCATCCTGTGATGAACTACCAGCACCCACATGCCTCTTCTTCTCAAAATGTCTCTAATCTATGCACTGCCATTTATAGCTCAAGCCCTTGTTACGGGTCCCTAGGTGCATGGCTTTGCACTTCATCCTGTTAAACTTCATTTCAGTTCGTTTCTCGGTACTAATTTAGTCCTCTTCTATATTGGAAACACCCCTCAGCTTAGCATCATCTACACATTTCATGAAGATGCATCTGGGTCCAGTGCCAGGGTTGCTGATGAACTTGTTAAGCAGGATGGGGATGCTTTAGGTAGCATCTCTCCACTCAGATAACTCACCCTCCAAAATAACCTCCCTTTGAACCAGCTCCTTTTCCACCTCATAATTATGACCTTGTTCCCTGTCCTCTCCAGTTTGGCCAGTAATTTCCTACTAGGCAAAATAGCAAAAGCAGTAGCCTTAACCAAGAAGCTCATTCCTTGTCACAGGAAGATTAGTGTGACACGATCCTCCTCCGATAAGCCCCCTGTTGTGTTTTGTCCCATTTTCCATTTCTTTCCAAATCTTTAACTGTTTCCTTTGGTATCTGTTATACGACTTTGCCTCTATTGAAAGCAAGCTAAAAATCATAGTCATTACCTGTTAACTTTTTATTCTTTGCTTTTTTTTGGTACGCTCCAAGGGAACCCTCCCCTCCCCCCAACTCCTTTTTCAAACATGAAAGCCCTGCTTTTCTTTTGGGGTGGGTGTTCATTTCAACTGCTGCTGAAGAAGCAATTATAAGAAATGTATCTTGTATAGGAGTGAGCAGTACCCAGAGCCTCATTTTCAATTTAGTAGCTGGAAATAGAAGGAAAATCTTCCTTAAAACACTCTGTTTTATTACTTTAAAGCAGTGGCTATTTGCTATAGTGGGCCACACTTGAAGCTCTCAATGTGTTACGTGCAGCGCATGTGCACAACTTACTCCCCATGTATCCATTTAACAGGATGTCACATGAGCCACAGCAGTGTGCTGATTGGGCTGCATGCAACCCACGTGCCATGGGTTGAGAACCCCTGCTTTAAAGAAACATGGATGCATTTGTGTGAGCCATCAAGGAATGAGTAAGGGTTCAGCTTTCTCACAAAATAACAGGAAACCACTGGCATGATGTGTATTTAAAACAGCTGAACTATTCCTGATACTTGACAAATGTTATTTTATCTGAGTAAGATTTAAAAAAAGGACAAGGAAATCTGGAAAAAAAAAATGAAAAAGTGAAAATGAAAGTGTTGAATGAAATACCAAGTAGATAACAATAATGTTTTTTAATGTTATCGTCATACGCTATTATATTATTATAACACCTAGGAATATCACCACGCGCCAAAACCTCCTTGGGCTCAGGGCCGTACAAGGATAGACCGACACAAAACAATTGTCCCTAAAAATCTTCCAGTCCATTTTCAAAGATTGGGCGAATGACACCCCTGTCGTGAGACTTGCCTGCTGTTTTCCAAGAAGATCTGAACTTTCACCTCCCTGCAAATTGCGTGTCAATACTTTATCTACTCTATAATCCGTGACTACATCTGGGTTGTTTCTGTGTTTCCAGATCTGGATGATCCAATAGTGACAGTTCATCAGAGCATAGGGGAAGCAAAAGAGCAGTTCTACTATGAGAGGACGGTGTTTCTCAGGTGTGTTGCCAACTCCAATCCGCCCGTTCGGTACAGCTGGCGGCGTGGTCAAGAGGTATTGCTGCAGGGGTCCGACAAAGGAGTTGAAATTTATGAACCCTTCTTTACCCAGGTAGGAATCGAGGTACAGTATTTCTTTTTTTTTTCTCCCTTTACGCAGTGCTTTCACCTTTACTTCCATCTTAAATATGAACCCAGTAGGAAAGAAATTCCCTCCTTACATTTCAAACTGTGTGTGTGTTGCTCTACCCTGCCCACACTTCTTCTCAACATACCTGTTATATATTGCAGAGGTTTTCATCAGGTTGTTTTGTTTTACATGTAAGAGCCGGAGGGAATGAGAAGCCAGATGCCATGTAATACAGTGAGAGCTTGGGATCTAATCCCTTGAAACTCCCCTCCTGCCAGTGAAGATCAACAGGATCATAGGAGAGTAGGGCTGGAAGGGACCTCACAAGGTCATTTAGTCCAGCCCACTGTGCAGGGCAGTATCATCTCTGGCTGGACCATCCCAGCCAAGTGTCTGTCCAACCAGCTCTTGACCATTTCCAAGGAAGCAGATTCCAGATGTTTTCTAGGCAGCCCGCTCCAGTGCTTAACTACCCTCGTCCTCCTCCTTGCCAACCTAAGTTTTCTCTGCTACAGCCTGAGGTCATTGTTCCTAGTCCTCTCCCCTGTGGTCACAGAGAAAAGCCCATCTCCACTCTCTCTCTAATGGCCCTTCAGTTATTTGAAGACTGTTATCAAATCCCCCCTCAGTCTTTCCTTCGCCAGGCTAAGTAACCCTAGTTCTTGCAGCCTTTCCTGATGCATCTGATTCCCCAGCCCCTAATCACTTGTTGTTGCTCTGTGCTAGCCTCTTTACAATCTCTTGTTGGGGTTGGACTTCATGACCTTCTGAGGTCCCTTCTAGCCCTAATCTGTCCACATCCTTCTTGAGGTGTGGGACCCAAAACTGGACATGGTACTGCAGGTGAAGCCCCTTCAGTGCTTAATACAGCAGAAGAAACAATTCCCTTGATTTACAAGTGGCATTCCCATTGGTACAACCCAGGATGCTCCTGGGTTTTTTGCAACAAGAACACCCAGTTGGTGCAAGCTGAGCTCATTGCAACCCCCAAGTCATCCTCTACAGTACCACAGTCTAGCCAGTCATTCTCAAGTTTGTACATGCATTCTTCCATCCAAAGTGCAGAACTTTGCACAATTTCCCCCCAAAGTACTCGCTATTAATGGAGACAAGGTTATCTGAGTAATGTGATTTCAGAGCTGAGTGATTTAAGAGCAAAAGCCCCTTGAAAAGTCCAGAAGATTTGTGCTCTGTAGTCATTGCGGTTCTTTGTTATCCACCCCAGAGACTAATACTATGGAAGAGGCTCTTTAGTTGGTCAGATATAGTTTGTTTAATTTTTCAGATAATGAGACAGCTGCACAAAAATGGACATTCATTTTCTACCCTGAGATCCTTAACAGGCCCTGTCTGGGTTTTTGTGATATAGAAGCCAGATGCATTTGAGGACTCTAGTCCTTAATATCAAAGGGAAAAGAAATGGTGTTTTAGACCAGTGGTTTTCAACCTTCTTTGGTTTGTGGACGCCCCAAAAAATTTGAATGGAGGTATGGACCTCTCTGGAAACTTTAAATGCAGGTGAAGTCCCTTTGGATTGTAAGTGTGGGTATTCATATAATTTTGATTGATCACAGACATCTTTCATGGACCCCTCAGATATAATCTGCAGACCCCAAGGCCTCCATGGACCACAGATTAAAAAAATAAGCTTTTAAGCTAAATTCACCCCTCTCTGAATTTTATCCCTAGAGAGCTAAATACCCCGAATAAAAGGGAGTGCTTTTCCTGGGCTGCATGCCAGGTTGGTTATATACCCTACAGGACAGGAGCGTGGATGCTTTTGAGTCTGCAGGAAAGTTGTGCATGCCTATGGGAAACACAGCTATGACCAGTGTCATCATCATGAAAGTGGCATTAAAAAAAAAAAAGCAGCAGACAGGCAACCCCTAAATTAGGGTAATCTTCGCCAGTCAAATGGATGATTTCTCCTGAAAGGATGAGGGGAAAACTCTACTGGTGTAGGATACACTGGGTTTGGTGTTAGCTCTGTCCATCCTGGGGGAGTCATTTGCCGAAGGCAAGCAGCCTATTACTTGCTACTTTACTGCCTAGCAGGATGTCACAGTAATGTCTCTTACTGCATGCACTATCTCAGGGTTTTGCCCATCTGTGTATTCCTGATTCAAATGCTATTTACATTGGTATAGAAAAACGATATGGGTTACGCTGGAGTATGTGACCATCTGTCCAGACCCTGAGCGTATATATTTCTATAGTTGTGTTGCAGTGCTGTTACTGTGATGGTCCAGGAAATGTCTCGGAGGCAAGGATTTTTTGTGATGTATTTTATTGAATCAACTGTATATGTGGCAGAGTGGTTGGATAAGCTTTTGAGCATCAAAGGTCCTTCTTCAGGTCTGAGAGAAGCAGATGCATGCTGAGATAAACAGAATCACAGAAAATTTGGTTTGGGAGGGAACTCAGGGGGTCACATCTAGTCCAACCCCCTGCTCCAAGCAGGACCAGCCCCAACTACGTCATCCCAGCCAAGGCTTTGTCTACTGGGTCTTAACAGCCTCCAAGGATGGAGACTGGGAAGCCTGCTCCAGTGCTTTATTGCCCTCCTAGTGAGAGAACTACCTTCCTAGTGTGAAAATACTAAGAGAAAGCACTTCTATCATATTCTGGATATATTTTTTTATAAGCATGTTCAGAGTAAGTTTTCTATTTTCAAATTATTGTACTACTCCCTAAACACTGATGGCAAGATCAGCAGCAGATATCAGCAGGGGTAACTCCTTTGAAATCACTGCTGTACAAACGTAAGGATCTGACCCTGATGCCATAGCTGTTTTCCAAATGTCCCCAGCCTAACTAGTGTGAAGTGACAGTGCATAGGAAGTGAAATGCTAAAAAAAACTTTGGAAGAAGCTAACGTCTATTGCAATCCTCTTCTCTGATTGTAACTTTTCACTCCTTTTTAATTTTGAGTTTTGTTCCACATTCATCCTTTCCATTAAAGCAGGGGCTGGGAAAATGGAGAAAGGTGGTTTGCTCCAGAGTGTTTCTAGTGATGTACGAGGTTGTAAGAACCCAAGCTTGTTGGCCATCAAAACGCTCCAATCCAGTTTTTGAATTCATTTGTATTTTTTGAAGACGGTAGAGCAATCCTTGTCCGAAAGGGAGCAGATCCTGTTTCTTTCAGCCAAACCTGAGTGACAGCAGTTCCAAAAAATAAAAATAAAAAGGGGTGGGGTGTATTTTCAAAATTCAAAACAACAGTGAGCAAAGCTGTAAATGAAAAGCTGCTCAGGAAATCAGTCTCAGAGCAGAGAGCAACCTGCAACTTTCATAAACAATTCTGAGCTAATGATTTGAGAGCACCATCATTTTTGCTTTTTATTATACCTGACAGCTTTATATTGCTAAAATAGCTTGATATTCTACAGAGAGATGGGCAGGCTGAAACCTAGCTGAGATGAGAATTAGATTGGGGTAGTAGAGTTATTGGGCTTCTGAAAGCAATGAGATTATTTTTAATTCACCATGTATGGACTGGGTTAGGGAATCTGTGGTTTGTTTTCTGGGGAAGTGAGCACAGATGTGTAGCTGGGAGTCTTTTGACTGTTTAATTAAAAGTGAGAGGCCCCCTCTGAGGCGGGAATTCTTGACTAATAATGTGGAAATGTTTATTATCATCTCCTTTATGAGATAAGTTCTTAGTGGATGATAAAATATGTCATGTTAAATTACATCCCACATTTTTCTTAAATATGGTTTCTAGGTTGCAGGGACTGTCCTCCGTACAATTTTTGCCTGTGTTGAAGTAATGAATAAATCAGATTGTCATGTTAATAGTCAGAAGCTTATCCATAACCTTTCTACATTTATTGGAGGTCAGGTTGAATTACTGTATCTTGCTCTGTGTGCACATGAGATGTGATACATGTTTAGAAGAGAACAAAATGTAATTAAAGGTTCAAGCATCATAAATGCCTCACGCATATTCTTGCATAATTGGTTCTCCTGATGGCGTGGTAGGAAACGGCAAGGGTCCGTGTGCAATGGGATATGAGATATTTGGATTTAAAGTATCTTGAGATATCAACAGGAAAAGGGCTGTCAAATGCATATGTTTGAGGCTGGATTGTCAGCCCGCTGCAAGGACAACAAATGCATGCAATATTTTAACTTTTCTCTGCTATGACAGCCAAAGAAAGAGAGGGAAGAGGGCAGAAAAAGCAATATATCGTATTCACATTTCCACTGTTTGCCCTGTTTCTTTTGACCTTCCTATTTCATTAAGTAATAGAAATCGAAGCATAAGCCACTTGAGTTTAAACATCCCATTATTAAGATGTAACACAGCGATGGCCTGGCATTTTAGGGACCCTGTAACTCAAAAAATAGCTTTCAACTTTGAAAGCATTTCTTTTAGCAATTCAGTCCACGTCAAGGATTACTTAACTCAGCTGCTGTGTAGGAAACCTGCACGCGCTCATGGAAAAAACAGCTGAATTACTGGACTTTTTTTTCAAAACCATAAACTTGCTGCACATTTTTTTTTCCCTCAGGATTTTCATCCTTGTCATTACATATTGTAATTGCACAGTTCAATTACAGGATTACATTTGCTGTATTTACACTAATTATGTAATTAGGCGTAATTAGACTAATTACACAAATCAACTAAAATTATTTTTAACAAATCATGGCAATTCACACAACATAATCCACAATGAAGTTGTGGGATCTGTCCACAATTTCAGCAAGGAATTTCCAGCTCATGCTTAAACATGCAAAACTTGCCATGGACCTGATCTCCATCCGGTTCAGTAAATTTGTTTCCTTTGCCTAATCTGAAGCCCGCTTGGGTTGGCCTAAATTATCCTCTGTTTAAGATAAGTTTTTTTGGCCTGTGTATTTTATTGTTGTGTGCCTTTGGAGGGTCTAATGTGAAAACTGGATACTGCAGATGCTTAAACAGTTTGTCCTTAATTTTAACCTAGCAGCTTAGGTAGGACTAATTGCACGGTATAGTGAAGCCTGGTAGTATATGATTGGTACTGGACTCTCAGATTGCTTTTAGGCAAGCACTTCCCTGTCCTAGCCCCATGCACTTTTCTTTTATTTCCTTCACATTTTGCTGATTAAGACATGTACAGGGGTTTTGAGTGTTGCTAGCCCAGTTGGCCATCCATCCCCTTCTCATTTAACCCTATGCAAGTGATGTGTATGCCGCCCTTTGGTTTAATTAAAACAATACACCAGGCGATATTTTCCACAATCTAGTGGAAATCTTATAAGAGCTGTCTAATGTTTTTTCTCTCTTTCCATGTGTGGTCCCATTCTTACTTAATTTACTCAGAGCTTTTATTCGCGTTAGTGGGACAGGTGAATAATTATGGCGCTTTAACAATATAGGGCTGACAGCTCATGTGCTCTGTTTCATTTGTCTTCTCTGTTCCCTTGCTGAGTGGAAGTTACAGTTCTGTCTCCATCAGGTTTAAAAGCTGCAATAGTCTAGTCCTAAGGCAGCATTGGAGTGGACAGGCTAAACGACTTCACGAGTTCAGCCCCTGAACAGCAAATTCCTTCCTAGCCCACCTTTGGCAATGGCTTAATGTTGCATTTGTGCATAACCTGGGCATCCTACATGGCAGAGCCTTTCCTTAGTGTAAGGCCGAAGTGGGGTAGGGCTTTATCCCACTTCAGTTTCCCCCTGGTAGCTGATCCTCTGTGCGCTCTTCCCCCATAACAAGCAGAAGCTAAACATCTGTAACTTTACCCCCTCTTGCACGGAGGGCTGGGGCCACCAGGATTTGTCTTCTCCTTCTAGTTGGCCGGTGTCAGCTCAGATATGCTGGAAGTGGGTAGTCTGAAGAGCAGATGCAAAGCTTGAAATATGTTTTTATTTCTGTGCTTAAAATTAATTGTATATGCATGTTTCAATACAGCTTTATTTTATTTGGTGTATCCGTGGCACACTGTTGTGCTAACTGAAAGAAAATTACCATAAATATGTTATAGTGCTCAAACTGCCGTGGGTTTTTATTTTATTTTTTTCCCCGTCTGCCTTGCTTCACGTTGAAATGTTTTTGTTGTTGTTGCTGCTCCATGATGTCTTTGTTTTTGTTCTCGATTTAAAAGCAAGTCTTTGTGTTTAACAGTTTTTGGGGGGTTTTTTCTGATCACATCTGATATCGCTTTGTCAAGGAAACATAAACACCTGGATCTTAACTAACAATAGTCTAAGATTTTGCCTACTTTTTTCATTAAAGTTTTTTTTTTCCTTTCCTCCAAATGTTTCTGGTCTTGTTATGCCCAATTCTTATAGCATTTTATATGAAAATCTCCTGCTTAGATACTATAATTTTCTTCAGTTTCTCTTGAAAAGGACTCCTTTATTAAATACTCTGTTTCAGATCATTGCACCATAATTTACATAAATACTGTCTAAAAATAAAATCATCGGAGAAGATGATTTAAAAAGGAAAACAACAGGATTTTTTAATTTTACTATTTTATTTTTTTACAGCAGCTTCTGGTTTTTGATTAAGTTGGGGGTGGGGGGGTTCTCAGTGGGGTTACTTTTACCTGATGTGAGGTGCAGTAAACATGATGGCTTCAGAGTTGCTTCTAAAACAAAGGCTTCTTTCCTCTTACTTCCTTTTTTTTTTAAACAGTAAATGGGGACCAAAAAAATCCCACACCATTGTGGGCATGTCCACATGAGATGTTAATGGCGCAGTAGACTAGTTCTACTGCTCATTAGTGCAGCTCGAAAAAAACTGCTAATGCACCGCAGAATTAGTCTACTGTGCACTGGTGTCATTTAAAAAGCATGTGCCTGCGCTAATTCGCAGTAGCACCAATTATGGAGCATTAAGTTAGTACCGGCGGGCATTTATACACAGGCATTTTTGTGCAGGGATGTGCCGGCAATCCAGCGGGTTGGAGCAGTCTTGATTAATCGAATCTGCTCCATACGTGAGCAGACATGCATTGCACTTCGGGGCAGTTGTATAACGACACAAAATGCATGTCAATGCACAGAAAATGGTGGTGGTGTGCTTTTGAACCCTAAAGCACCTACAATGCGTTTTAGCTCAACAGTGTCCCACCACCATTTTCTCAGCGCTGACACGCATTTTGCTGCTTATACGATGCCATGTGCTTCAGCCCCTGCTACTGCAGCATGTGCATGTGTAGAAATGCCCTGTGATTACAGGTACTAAACTTAACACATTGTAATTGTGGTGCATTAACGAGTGTGTAGGCATGCCCTGCATGTGGAAATGAGTTAGTTAAAATCAGCCTTGCAGTCTAGCACCTGCATCTACTTAGCCATCACAGTGCAATGCTTTTGTCACCTGGAAGTCTGCCTTTTCCTTTGACTTAATCTCTTCCTTACCTGCCCTTTCTAATGTGCACAGGGGGAAACAAAGATTCTGAAACTAAAGAATCTTCGACCTCAGGACTACGCTAATTACAGCTGCATCGCTTCGGTGAGGAATGTGTGCAACATCCCCGACAAGATGGTGTCGTTTAGACTCTCCAATAAAACAGGTATTCTATGTAACAATCCACTCTCCCACTTGAGTCTGCCCTCTACGCTGTCTTCCTAAGAAGCAGACTACACAGGATTGTGCTCTTGTTTATAATCTGTATCACTGCAGGCAGCTGCACCATTGTGCATCTCCATGTGCATTAACACACATTAGTTAATGTGCATTAAATCAAGTACTTCCATTGTGAGGTACTAGGAAAATGTGCATTAGCTTATCTAAATGCTCATTAACTAAAGAGCATGGTTTTTAGCAATGCTTTAATGCACATTAGCAAAAGTGCACGGTTTGTTTGTTTTTAGTGACACTTTAATGCTCATTAAAATAGGCTAATGCGCATTAAAGCACATGTGTAGATGCTCCCAGTATCAGGCTGTGTCTGGCAGAGGTGGGAAGAAGTAGCAAATGGAGATGGAGTGCACCTAGATTACGGATTTTGGTTCAGCCCTTGAGACATTAGGGGGCAGCTGTGGATTTTTTACTGGGGTTTGACATTGGGGGAAAATTCAAAAGTTCCCTTATTATTCTTCAGGGCTGCTTTAAAGTCAGTTTATGAAATCAAGTAGGGTTCAACCAGAATAAGGGTATTACAACATAGTGTGGACTCTGAGTAAAATGTTTTCTTATACACCCTCTGGGTTCCTTAGAGAGCTGGTCAGGATTTTTCCTTCACAATGTTTTATTGCAGCTAGGGCAAAAGTGAAACTTTTCACAGGAGGTTTTGCATTTACCAAACTGTTTTGATTTTATGTTGGGAAAACTGAAGTGATATATTCTGTTTGGGGTCTGGTCAACCCTCATAGAAACGTTTCAGTGCATCACATCAACATGGGTTGTCCCAAGCCAGCTAGAGGCTCTTCCACATCTCCTCAAGCTCCCTCATTGGGAAATGTAGTTTGTGTTCCCCAGAGCTCCATTTTCTACCACTGGGGGCTGGACTGCATATTATACGATGCATCTCTGTCCTCTCCCTGATGGAGGACCATGGTGCATGATGGGATTCCCACAACAGTGGTGAATCATGGGAGATGAGAGCTGGTGTACTCACAGTTCAACACATCCCTATTTGGTTGTGCAGCCATGCCAAAGTGTTTGGACATCTGCACATTACGTCAGGGTCTCCTTTAGTAAAGCATGTTGCTACAAATTGAGAACTGAGAGACATGAACAAAGCTACCAGTTGAACCTGGATGGAGGTCACCAGGAAGAGCTTAGGTGAAGTGTACTTTTGCATTTAGATTTGCATGTCTTGCATTATTTCTGCTCTCCGGGCTTGGCTTCAGAGTGTTACCCACAACTCCTTTTGGTATTTCTAATGGAAAAATGGAAGTGACATATGTAGTGTTGTAGCCTAAGGGCTCCGTTCTGTTCAGTAGTCATTGTGTAAAGCACAAAAGGATTCACTGAAATCTGCATGAGCATCCAACCGGGAGGCTGCAGTCACCTTCAGAGTCATGATTAAATAACTACTGCAATACTTAATTAAGAACTAATGTACTTTTTAATTGACAAGAGAGTAAAGTCCTCATTTGCTCTTGTATAACCACATAGAAGTTAAGTAGCATTAGTCTAGATTTATGTAGAAGAGCAGACTTTGATTATATGGGTCCTTACAAATCAGTTTTTGCCTGCATATTTGTTGTCTTTTTAGGCGTATTCACACATGTGCATTGTAGAGATATGTCGACAGGAGACACAAAATCTGAAAAAGGAACAGAGTGGCTATAAAGTGGCAGATAAATGTGGTCATTTGTATAGGCTCCTGCTATATTTAGTTAATGCAAGTGGTTGCAGGTGAATTTCAGGTCAGTCCTTTATTATGCAGTGAAAATGCGTCTTTGGCATTGCCAATGATTGGACTGTTCTTCATGTATCTATTTTCAGGACCAAAAGTGGCAGAAGAGTTTTTGTCAAAGGTTATAACAACATTAGAGATATGATGGATGATAGCACATGGCTGCTAATGTTGGTACAAGCCATGGGTTTCCATTATTTTCCTACAATGAATTGGGTTGGTGGGTCCAGAAATGTGTGAGATGTGCAAAGAGTTTCATGATTTCTCAAGTTTTCTTTGACTGAGGGACTCATTGGCAGAGCTCCCTATCGCAGGGCATGCTCAGATCAGGGATGCTCAGTCTCACTGGCTGGCCTGGCACCCAGAGGATGTTCCAGAGTGGTGCAGGGTATGTTATAATTTCTGATGCATCCCTGTTGATCGACCCAACTGATTCATGTACTTTACTGGGCACTGGTGAAGCCTCACTTAGAGTACTGTGTCCAGTTTTGGGCACCTCACTTCAAGAAGGATGTGGACAGATTGGAAAGAGTCCAAGGCAGAATGACAAAAGTATTAGAGACCTGGGAAGCAGGACTTCTAGGGAAAGGCTGAAACAGCTAACAAGTGGTATCTAATCTGGGAAAGAAGGTGTGTGTATTTGTGGTGGGGGGAGGAGGGATTTGATAAGTCTTCAAATACCTGCAGGTTGATTATAAAGAGGGTGGAGTTGGGCTTTTCTCTGTGGTCACAGGAGACAGGACTGGAGCAATGGCCTCAAGCTGCAAAAAGGAAAATTTGGATGGAAATGAGGAACGTTTGGACTATGAAGGGGTAGTCAAGTATGTGACTGGGACTGTTAGGGGTAGTGAGTAATTTCAGTGGAGCAGGCCTCTCATTGAGAAAGTGCAGGTTTATCTTTTGCTGCTTCTTCTGCTGGCATGGGCTCTTTCATCCATCTAAATTCCTGTGCACACATCTGAGTCGAGAGGTTAATTTGGAGACCATCAGGCACTTCTTTGGGTGAGTAAGTAGCCTAGTTTCCTATTAAACACAACCTGCCAGATTAGATCTATGAGCTTTTTGTTTTCCATGTTTAATGCGTCCCATCGCTTATTTGATTGTCTGTTGTGGCATCACCAGAATAATGATCCATTACTGTGTTAGAACCAATAGGAAGTATTGTATGACTGAAACTTTCTTCCTGGTTCTCCTTTATTAATTAGAAAAAATAATTAAGCAGATGCCATCAAACAAACATGCATTCATTAGTATACATCAGACATAATTCAGGTTTAAAGCATTACACATAGGTGCAATTAGGTACATTCACACCCACTTGATCAACACCAATGGCTTAATTACATCTGTTCTTCATGACTCTGTGTAGTCTTGGACACAACATCATATGCCTGTATGCACGACAGGAGTGGAAGTAAATTTGGCATTGTCATGCTCTTAATCCAGTTAATGATTTCCTTCCAGTGCAGCTCAGCTCTAAAACAGAAATAGAGAGAGGAGCTATAAACAGCTTGCAGGTATACAACCGCTCACATGCACCCATTACACAGGGGCATTTAGCGATTAGGTTCTTTATTGTCCTATTTATTTATTAGGTCATTTGTTGTACAATTGCACCTCAAGGCAGGAAACGAGCTCAGAGCCCTTTGTGCTAGGCCCTGTGTGAGCAGACAAAAGCCTGTTCCTTCTGGGTTGAGTTCACAGTCTCCATAGAGAAGGTGGACAGGGGAAACAAGGTGGAGGGAAAGGAGGTGACTTGCCTGAGACCACACGGTGGGTCGAGGGCAGAGTCAAGACGAGAATCCAATCTGCCTGACTCCATGCTCTACATGTAGACAGTGCTGCCTCATCGCAGAACAAAACGTGTAATGTCAGAGCTTTGTTACACAGTAAGTTTAGGCAGCTGCTTGAGCTCTTAACCCTTGAATTGGCCGCATAGTAACACCTTTAAGTGACTTAAAGCACTTGTTATTTGGTTTAAAGTTGCACCCCTCCACAGGTTTGTCTCTAATGTCCATAATCTTGCTCCTTAAGCAAGATTAAATTGTGGCCACTCTCTAGACCTATTCTATTGAAGTTGAACTCCTCCAGCATCCCATGATGCAGTGGCCTCTCGTGGGTCAGGGCAAGCAGGGACACCAGGATGCAGAGGGGCCAGGCATGCCCAAGCACCTCACTCCCTGGGGGCACTGGGCAAAGCAGATGCTGCAATCCTGGACCCCATGGCCACTGTAGCCATCAAGGCTGACTTGCTGATTATGCTGGCAGGAGGGGGAGGCAGTGGGGAAGATGGGGCTCCTCAGTGCTCAGGCAGTGCCTGGCCAGCAGCAGTGTGGGGGATGAGCTCAGAGGAAAAAAGGATCGAGTCCCTTTTTACATAGGCTCCTAATCCTGCCCCTGATCACCAAGTCTCTAGTGGCAAGTCACAATTGTGCAGGTGAATGACAGCCAGAATTTTTTTTTGTTTTAAGCTGTGACTGCTTTACTAAGCTGAACATCTCTAAGTGGATTAATATCCATGCAGCTTAAGGCATAAGGTGTAACAAGGCCCTGAGAGCTGTCTCCCCAAAGCATCCCAGCAGGGACCCATGTTGCCTGAGGGGCTTAAATGCAGAGATGCACTAAAGCAATAGAAAGGGGCAGACTGTATGTTGTCACAGAGCAGCCGGCCCCACCAAAGACTGCCCCTAAGGTGCCTATGCCTCATCCCTTGTTTCTGCCCCCAACCCAGGTCATCATAGCCTACTCATTTATGCATTTTGCCCACTTCCAAGCACTTGTCTGCTAATATCCTGGTCCACCCTAGACTAGGGCTAGGTAAAGAAATGATTTGCACCCGAAGGAAACTGTGCAAGGATCATGTACACAACCTTCATTCTGCTCTATCTCAAGCATGAATTATTGACAGGTAATATTAAAATGCATCTGTTAACAGCCTACGTGTGACTCACTGTTTAATCTTGAGAGCTAGAGAAAGGTGACTTAGTGCTGCTAACTCTGAATGCTCAGATGCACTGGTATACGTGGAGACAAATATGGGAGCCTTTAAACACGGCATTGTTCATTTGAAGGGATTAGGGAGGAACAGCATATACACCCATGGGCGCACTGGGTTTCTGGTTTGACATGCATGAAGTGTCTGCAAAATGCTGATAGGGTTAAATGGGAAACAAGAGCGTTTCACATACTGAAATTCTACACCTCAC